TTTTTTTAATTTGTGTTCTTTTTGTCCTATAATTTTTTGAAATTTTCATACTTAATAGAAAAAAAAAAAAAGAATGACAGTAGTTAATGTAACAGTAAAGTGGAAAAATCATGTTTTCAATGATGTTGAAATGAATATATCTGAGCCACTTATTTTATTTAAAACACAATTATGGTAAAAAAAAAAAAAAAAAGAAAAATTAGAAAATCATATATAATACATAAATATTAATGAAATGTAGCTGCAATAACATTTAAAGCAAAAATAAAGAAAAAAATAATAAATAACTATAAAAAAATTGGATAAAAAATAATTATATTTTTATCATATTTCCTTTTTTTTTTTTATTATATATACATATATATAAGGATGTATAAAGAATTTTGTTTTTATTAAAATATATTTTTAATACATAAACTTACTGATATATATATATCTTATTTTAGAGTAATAACTACTTATTTATATAAAATTCTTTACTTGTATTCTTACACTGATTTTATTTATAAGAAATAGAAATAGTTTTATTAAAAAAAAAATATCCTTTAATAATGAACATACAACATAAAAAATATATATATGTATCAGTAGAAGTAATAATTTGTATTCACATAAAATAAAAATGTTTTATGACTTTTTTTAATACATTCAAAAAAATATGATTATAATAATTTATAAGATTAGTATTTATTTATAATTTTTACTTTTTTGATTGTATATAATCTTGTAATATTAATTCTTAATCTTACTTCATAGCTGCATATATAATTTTTTTTTTTTTTTTATATAGGCAATTAACCAATGTTCCACCAGAAAAACAAAAATTAATGTACAGAGGATTATTAAAAGATGATGTAGATTTATCTAATTTGAACATTAAAGAAAATGACAAAATTATGCTAGTAGGTTCAGCTGAAACGTTAGTGGAAAATCCTCAAAATGTCGTTTTTGTGGAAGATTTATCAAAGGAGGAAAAAGAAAAAATACATACAAAAGAAAACATAACGTTTGAAGAACAGGGTATAGTAAATTTAGGTAATACATGCTACTTTAATGCAGTATTACAATTCTTAACTTCATTTGATGATTTAGGAGAATTTCTTAGAAATGTAAAAAGAAAAGAAGATCAATTAGTAAAATCGAATAAAGATATTTTATTTGATTCTTTTGTTCATTTTTCTCAAACATTTGGAAAATCATCAGAACCATATGTTCCACTTGCTTTATTAAAATCTTTTAGAGAAGTTTTTCAAAAATTTAAAGGGGTTAATTTAAGAACAAAACAGTATGCTCAGCAAGATGCAGAGGAATGCATGAATGCTATGCTTAATGCATTAAATGAACAAACAGAATGTAAAATAATTGATAAAATATTTTCTTTTAAAATTGTTAGTAAAACAAAATGTATAGAAACAAATGTTAATGAAGAAATTACTAATGAAAATAAAGAACAAAATATAGATGATGAATATGAAACAACAGAAGAATTCCACAATAAACTAATTTGCTATATGGGAACACATAATGTTCCAGTTAATCATATGCATGAGGGAATACGGCTATCATTAAATGAAAAAATTAGAAAAATTAGATCGACAGACGAAAAAAATGCTTTATATGAAAAGAAATCAGAAATTGATTCATTACCACCATATTTAATCGTTCATTTTTTACGATTTGAATCAAAAAGAATAGTTGAATCAAATAATGATGTTTCAGTTGTTACAGCAAAGATTTGCAGAAAAGTTAGTTTTCCTGAAATTTTTGATATATATGATTTTTGTTCAGAAAAAGTAAAGAATCAATTAAAAATATCTAGAGATATAATTATGAAAAGAAAAGAAAAAGAAATAAGCTCAGATAATGAAGAATCAAGTAACTTAAAGGAGAATAATTTTCAGGAAAAAAATGAAGAGAAAAATAATGAAAAAAATGAAGAGAAAAATAATGAAAAAAATGAAGAGAAAAATAATGAAAAAAATGAAGAGAAATATAATGAAAAAAATGAAGAGAAAAATAATGAAAAAAATGAAGAGAAACATAATGAAAAAACTAATGAGAAAAATAATGAAAAAAGTAATGAGAAAAATAATAACGAAAAAGAAGAATTAATAGAGCTTTTCACAGGAGAATATGAATTAATTTCAGTTGTAACACATAAAGGAAGAAATGAAGAAAGTGGGCATTATATTGCATGGAAAAAAATGAGAAATTATATTAGTAAAAATTCTAGAATTGATGAAAATTATGAAATAAAGAAAAAAATCAGAAAAGTAAATGATTCTATGTGGTTAAAAATGGATGACGATAAAGTAACAACTCACAAATTTTCTTCACTAGATTTAAGTGGAGGTTGTAGTGATTATCATATAGCTGTTTTATTATTATATAAAAGAAAAAGCATTTTATGTACACAAAGTGAAATAAATAAATATTCCAAATAATTTATACCTATTTATTTATAATATTTAAAAAAAAATAAATTTCAAAATAACCGAAAACCTCATTGAAATAAAGTATTATTTTTAATTTGTAAAAAAATAGATTTTTAGTATTTATATTGCATTACTACATATATGATACATTCATGGTTAACCAATTTTAGTATTAAATATAAACTTTTTATAGAAAATTCTCTTTATTTCTTGAAATTTATTAAAAAAAAAAAATGCTATGCCTTTCCTTTTCCTTTTTTTTTTTTTTTTTTTTTTTTTTTTTTTTTCATTCTTTTCAAATCTAAAGAAAAAGGCATATTTCTATTTATGTATACTTTTATATGCATTCGAAACAAAATTAAGAGAAATGTCCTATTAATTATATCCTTTTTTTCATTGATAATTAACATTTTTTATATGCATCTAAAAAAAAAAAAAAAAAAGAAAGATAACAATAATAATATATGTAATAGTATAAATTTAAATTTTTATGAACTGAATTTTCATAGTTTGTTTAACTTTTATTGAAGAAAACTAATGAAACAATTAGATATATATGATTTTTAAATGATGAGATATGTTTCTCCTTTTTAATTATTACAAAATACATTAATCTAAAAATTTTACTGCATAAAAATTGATAAAATTAACATTTTCACAAAAAGCATAAATTTACCTATAATTCCAAAATTGATATTAAGAGTAAATTATATAGGTGTATTTTAATTAAAATTAAAATATAGAATAGGAAATTATAAAAAAATTCATGTTATAGTGGTAATTATTTTTTAATATCAATTTGGAATTATTAAAAATAAAAGGAAGACATTCCTATTAATATATAAAGTTAAAATTTTTTTATGATATCCTTTGTTAAATTATAATAATTATTTTTATACAAGATAATAATAATTCTAAAATTGTTGACTAAAAGAACCATGAATTATTTAATATTTAAATAAAAAAAAAAAAAGAATTATATATATATATATATAAGATAGAATACTGTATTTAAATATTAGTAAAATACAGACTTAATTTTTTATGAAAATAATTAAATCGAGAAATATTAAATAGAATAACAGAATAATAGAATAAAAGAATGATAAAAAAGGAGAACAACTTCAAAAAATTATTAAAAAAATTTAATAATAAAAATAAGTATTAATTGAATAATAATGGTTCTATTTATGCTTATAAATCAATATTAATGATATTTAAATAATTTCAACATTTCCTTAATGTTAAAATTGTGCTGCATACATATTCCCATAATATTTAAAAAAAAAAAAAAAAGTATAAGCAGTATAATTAAGTTTAAAGTTATGATATATATTTTTATATAATATCACAAAAAATGAAATATAAAGAATTTTAATCACAAATGAATTTTTTTTAAAAAATTCATATAGCTTTTTATTTTTACATATATAAATTAAAATTATTATTTATTTTAATTACAGACAATTAAAGAACACACCTAAAAATATAAAGAAAAAATGTGTTCTTTATAATGAACTTTTTTAGAAAAATTATAACTTTTTTATGATTTTATTTTTTTTTTATGATTCTAAGGAGATTATTTATTTTCGTTTCTATACTACTTAAAACAAAAAAAAAAATGTGTTTTAAAGTATTTACAAATTTTTAAATATAAATTAATTATATTCATAAGACAACCAAAATAGAATAACTATAATAAAAATATAAGAAACCAGAAGAAATATATAACTAAATATAGGTATACATAAATTTTCTATACTTAATTTTTTTCCTAATAAAAATATTATAATATATATGTGTAATGTTTTATTTTAAATATATTTCTAATGTAATCACACATTAAATTATATTCCTAATTTCTTTTGTTTCATTTTCCTTTTTTAAATAATTAGTGTTTCTTACTATTAGTGAATAAGAATTATTAAATTAAATAAAACTAGTACCTGTTTTTAACAAAATGCAAGTTGATGTATATTATTAAGTTAAAAAAAAAAAAGAAAAAGTTAAGAGGTCTTTTATATTAAGATAAGCATCAAAAATAAAAAAGAATATCTTTTAGTTTTCATAAGAATTATTTTACACTACTTTGAAAATTAAACTTTTTTTTTTTTTTTTTTTTTTTCATTTAGCAATTGAATGAAAATTTAGTAAGGGTAAGAAAAAATATCTTCTGAAAAAATAGAAAAATGGAAATATAAAAATATAGAAAAATTATAAAATAGAAAAAAATTAAAAAATGAAATAAGATAAAAAATAAAAATAACAAAAGAGAATAACAGAAAGAATAAATTATTATAATACAAATAAACTATATATTATTCTAATATCAGATATTTTTAAATTCTAAAAAAAAGTATTAAAAAAAAAAAAAAAAAAATACTTGAATTTATAAAGGTAGTTTAAAAAAAAAAATCTGCTCACTAATAAAAAAAAAAAAAAAAATTATTTCTTGGTGCTATTATAGTATTTTATTCATTTAAAAAAAAAAAAAAAAAAAAAAAAAAGAATAATTATTGAATTGAAACTTAAACAAAATAAAAATTCGTAGTAAACATAATATTAAAAAATTATAAAATTAATTTTTCTTATTATCTATGTAATAATAATAGTGTAGTCGTATTAACAAAAAAAAAAAAAAAAAAAATAAAAAATAAAAAAAAATAAAAATTAGTTTTAAAGTTTTTTTTTTTATATTTCACAAAATTTACTGATATATATATTATTTATTAGTTAATTATTTTCTTTTTCCTTTTCCTTTTCTTTTTCTTTTTTTTTTTTTTTTTTTTTTTCTTTTTATATAAACCTATAGAATATGTCAATACCAAGAAGAATAACAAAAGAAACACAAAACCTTGCTAATGAACCACGTAAACAAAATTAACTATTTATTTTTATTTTCCACTTTTCCTATTATTATATGATATATAAAAATTATTTTTTATATTTGGATGTAAAGATTTGTTATTTTTAATTTTAAACATATTTCCTTAAGAATAATTATATATTTTCTTATGAACAAATTCTTATACATATATATGTAATTTTTTTTTTTTTTTTGTAAGATGTTAAAAATTTTACTTTAACTTCTAATTTTTTATATAACAATATATTTTTTTTTTATACTTTCTTGCACATTTCTTATCATTTATTAATTTTTATGCTTGTCTAAAATTCTTTTTTTTTTTTTTTTTTTTTTTTTGATGTTTGTTTTTTATTTTTAAAATTAAAATTATTAAATAAGAAATATATATAATTATTAAGGTTACCTTATTTTTATTAGAAAAAAACAGAAGTTAACTTTTTTTTTTTTTTTTTATATTATTGTTTCTATAATCACGTTTTTTAATTTATGAAAAGTGTTCATATTCATTTTAAATCTTATAAAATGTAAATAATTTATTTCTTACTTTTATATTTTTATTATATAGATATATAAATGTGTTTCACTATTAATATGACTAAAATTGTTATATAGAAATATTTTTTTATTATCTATTAATATATACATAAATTATACCTAGGAATAACCATAATTTATAATACTTATTTTAAAATATATTTATAATTTATATCAAAAAGATATATTGTTTGGAATTATTATATATACTATATTAAATGTCCATAAAAAAAAAAAAAAATAAAACCATAATAATATATATATATATATATATTTTTTTTTTTTTTTTTTTTTTTATAAATATAGCACCAGGAATAATTGCTGTACCAGTTCCTGAAAATTACAGACACTTTAAAATTTTAATAAATGGCCCAGAAGGAACTCCTTATGAAGGTTTAAAAAAATTTTTAATTTTCTTTTTTCATTATATATATACAGACATATTTTATTTTTCTATATATAATAATAATAATGATGGTTATAATAATAATAAATTTATGAATAGGTGGTACATATAAATTAGAACTTTTTTTACCTGAGCAATATCCAATGGAACCACCAAAAGTTCGTTTCTTGACAAAAATATATCACCCAAATATTGTAATAAAAAAATAAAATAAAACAATAATAATAATAATATATATATATTAATATTTTTAGAAATTGTAGATTTTTATATTTTTTTATATTTATTATTATACACTATAATTCTATTATTATTTAATTTTTTTAAATAAATAGGATAAATTAGGAAGAATATGTTTAGATATATTAAAAGATAAGTGGAGTCCTGCTCTACAAATAAGAACTGTATTGTTGAGTATTCAGGCGTTGTTATCTTCTCCTGAACCTGATGATCCATTAGATTCAAAAGTAGCTGAACATTTCAAACAAGACAAAAATGACGCAGAAAATGTAGCTAAACAATGGAATAAAATATATGCAAATAATACTGTTTTGTAAAAACAAAAAAAAAAAAAAATTTTTAATGGGAAAAATTTTACATAATATATCACATATCTATATGTATAAACTCATAATTATGTTTTTTTTTTTTTTTTTTTTTTATCATATTTATAAAATTTTTATATATATGTACTTCCTATTTTTTTCTTCTATTTTTCCTTCATATATATTTCAAAAAAAATTACATTTTTAATATATGGGATATAAGAAAAAAAGAATAATTAAAATAAAAACACAATTTTTTATAAAAATCTAAAAAAATGAATATATATTTTTTCATTATTATAAAAAACATTATTTTTTAAAATAATAGATAAATGTTTACGTTATGCTGAAACTAACAAGATACATATATAAAAAATTTTGTTTGTCTAAAAAGAAAAATAATACTTTTGTAAAAAAAAAAAAATAAATAAATATAACATTTTTTTTTTTATACCCGTTTATCAAACAATCACATATTTGTAAATTATTAAATTAACACAAAAAAGTTAATTATATCCTTATTTTTTTTATATTCATTAAAGGCTTAAACATATTTCGACTTTAAGATTTTTTGTAACTACATAATATAAATGAAAAAAGGAATTTTCTTTTTTTTCTCCATATTCACATATAACCTAATATAATAGAGAAAAAAAAATTTACTGAAAATGAAGACAAAAAATGATTTTTTTAAATGTATTTTCACATTCTTAGAAATTTTTTTTTTTAAGACACTTTAACGTATAATTAAAAGTACATATATATATATATATTATTCTTTTTTCAGAGCAAATAATTTTTTTTCAATTAGAATTTAAAAAAAAATATAGATTTAGTTATTTTTTAATTTAAAAAAAAAGTATATATACATAAATATGCTTCATATGCATATATATATATATATATATATATATATTTTTTTTTTTTTTTTTTTTTCTGAATTATCTAAAGATAACAATAAATTATCATCTTTATTTTTTTTTTTTTTTGGCTTAGAAAAAATTAAAGGTTTTTTTTCTTTCAATATTTCTTAAAAAAAATTAAAGTTAATAAATTATTTTAAGAAGATAATAAAAAATTACAGAAATACACATAATATATAAAAAAAATAGAAAAAAAGAAAAAAAAAAAAAAAAAGACATAAATTGTTATTATATTTATAAATATATATTATATTTTTTTTTTTTACATATTATTTCCTAAATATTTATATGTATACACATGAAAAAATAAAAAGAATATTGCTTTTTTTTTTTTTAATCACTAAAAAGTTTTTAGAATACTTCATAAAAATTATTAATAATGTTATAAAAATTTATTTAAATAAATAAATATATATATATAAATATATATTTATTCATTTATGTAAATAAGAATACGAATAATAGTATCAATTGCATATTTTTTACATATACATGCATACATAATTTTATATAATGGGAACATAAAAATTTTAATAAATTTTATTAAGAATAATTTGATAATGTTTTATTAATTTTTTTTTTTTTTTTTTTTTTTTTTTTTTTTTTTTTTTTTTTTTTTTTTGTATAATTATTAAAATAGTTTATATGTAAAATATATTATATAAATAAATTTTAAAATATAAGTTTTTTTTAAACATGGAAAGTATGAGTATAGAAAAAAACAGTACTCCTTTAGGGAGGCCTGGTTATAGAACAATGAACTCAGAGTTGAATTATACTTTAATGGATTCTTCTATTAATCATTCTTCTATTTTAGATAATTCTATGAGAGTTGAAAAAGATAATAGAGAAAGAAGATTGCAAAAAATAAATGAAAATATTGTAAGTGAATATGAATCTGGTAGGCAAAGTGTTGTTTTTACACAACAAAAGTATAAGCAATTATTAGAAGGATTTCTATTATTTGTTCAAACAAACAAATATATTCATCAGAAAATTTCTGAATTAAGAGAAGAAGCAACTGATGAATACAATAGAATGCTAAATAAAAATATCCCAAATATAATAATACATCAAAGACTAATATGTAATATTAATAACTTTCAAACAGGTAATGAACAATTTGAATTATTAGCTAAATGCTTAATTAAAGAACCATATTTGGCATTACCAGCTTATCAAGCAGCAATTAAAGAATTGTGGAAATCTCAAGATAGTAAAGTAGAAATTGATCCTCCTAAAATAGGAATTTGTGGTTGGTTAGGTAGGCACCATGTAACCCCTAGAGGGTTACAAAGTTCTATGATAAATAAACTTGTAGCAGTCGAAGGAGTTGTGAATAAGTGTTCTACAGTCCAACCAAAGTTAGTACAATCTGTTTATATAGGAGAAGCAGTTCAAGATATTAATGCAGATATTAGAAGTGATGAAAAAACAGTCCACTTAAGACCACATTATGATATTACAGATTTTGATAAAACAGCCAAAGATTCAGGTAGACCTCCTGCATCAGATCCTGAAGGCAAAATTATGCACAGACATGAAATAGGATTATGCAAATATAAAAATCATCAAAAATTTGTTATTCAAGAAACACCAGAAGATGCACCAACAGGACAAATGCCAAGATGGGTAGAAGTAATAGTAGAAGATGATTTGTGTGATATTGTAAAATGTGGTGATAGAGTAAGGGTTTGGGGAGTGTATAGAGCAAGTTGTGGTCAAGCTAATAGTTCCAATAGTGGTTTAGGGAGATCTTTTTTAATAGCTAATAATGTATTAGTGAAAAATAAAGAAACTTATGACTCCAATTTATTTATATCAGAAGCAGATAAAAAAAATTTTCATGCATTTGCGAAAAAAGAAAATACAATTGATATTTTAGGTTATTCTTTTGCTCCTTCCATATGTGGACAGGATATAGTAAAAAAGGCTATTGTTTTAATGTTAGCAGGTGGAACAGAACGTGCTTTACCTTCTCATCATATTAGAGGAGATATTCATATAATGTTGGTAGGAGATCCTAGTTGTGGTAAATCCCAACTCTTACGTTATGTTATGAGCATAATGCCTGGTACAGTTTCTGCTACTGGAAGAGGATCTTCAGGAGTTGGTTTAACTGCAGCAATAGTTACTGATCAAGATACAGGAGAAAGAATAGTAGAAGGTGGTGCTATGGTTATGGGAGACAGAAGAGTAGTATGTATTGATGAATTTGACAAAATGCAGCAAACAGATAGGGTAGCGATTCATGAAGTTATGGAACAACAAACCGTTACTGTTGCTAAAGCAGGTATTCATACTACTTTAAATGCTAGATGTACAGTTCTAGCAGCTGCTAATCCTCTATATGGATGTTGGAACGATGCTCTTGATATGGGACAACAATTACAATTTGAACCTTCTCTTCTTTCTCGTTTTGATTTAATTTTTCTTGTAAGAGATAGTGCTACCGAAGAAGACGATGAAAGAATTGCAGAATCTGTACTTAGAAATGTTACTGAAAAAGCTAAACCAATTATTAATGAAAGTAGAAATAATCAAAAAAATTTCGTTATTCAAGCAGACAGCTATGACATTAATCCTAAAGCTCAACATATAAGTGTTTTTAACGAAAGAGATATAAATAAAAATAATGACAATAATCAAGAAAATGAAGAATTTGAAACTCCTATTTTTGCTAATAGAGATGAAATGATTTATTATGATAAAAATGGTATAGAACATGAAATCTTAACAGTTCCTTTTTTTAAAAAATACTTGCATTATGTTAAAAATATTTTTTATCTTGAAAAGCAAAGAAGTGACGGATGGAAACCTTATCCAGAAGTTAGTGATGAAGCATGTGAAGTTATTACTGAATTATATGCAGATTTAAGAGAAAGAGCATCTAAATACTCACATAACAAACTTATACAAGGAGTTACTCCAAGAACTTTAGAGGCCATTATTCGAATAGCATCTGCTCATGCAAAGCTAAAATTAAATAGATATGTTACTAGTGTTGATGTAAATTATGCAAAGAAATTGTTATTATATACTTTATTTGGGGAAGAAATTATCGACCCAGATGAGGAATATGAAGAAGATCAAAAAGAAGAGGAAGAAGAAGAAGAAGAAGAAGAAGAGGAAGAAGAAGATGATGATGAAGAAGAAATACTAAAAAAAAAGAAAAATCAAAAAGCAAAAAGGGCATCTAAAAAAAGAGTTAATGAAAAAAAGGATATAACAAATAAAAAGAAAAAAAAAAGAAAAGGGCAAACTGAATCTGATGATGTTGAGAATAACATGATAGATGATATACAAAAAAACAATAAAAAAACTACACCTTTAGATGTTAAAGAAATAGAAAGATTAATTGTTGAAAATGTAACATTAAATGATCCTGGTGATGGACTAAAAGATGTTGAACTTTTAGATTTGGTATCAAATTTTTTTAATATATATATAAATATATATATATAGAGATATATATTTACATTTATTATAAACTTTTTTTTTTTTTTTTTATAGATTATATTAGGAAATAAAGATAAAATGCCAGAATTGGCAAATCTTGATATTAATCAGTTACGTAAAATAATAAATTCATTAAATGAGATGGATGGAGCACCTATTTACTATGTAAAAAAGGATAAAATAGTATATAAATGTTAAACTACTTTATTTAATTTTTTTTTTTTTTTAATTTTTTTAATTTATTTATTTTTTTCAAAATATTTATATAATTCCATCATTTTTTTTTTTCTTTTTTTTCTTTAAATTATTTTTTTCAAATTATCTGTATAGAATTTTCTTTTTAAAATTGTTAAAAATCTAATTTTTTTTTTTTTTTTTTTTTTTTTTTGAATTATTAAAGATTCAATTTTTTAATAAAATTATGATATTTAATATATATTTCTATAATCAAATAGAAGAATATATTATTTTAGATTAACATTTAAAAAAAAAAAATTTATACATATTTATATTACATTAATTTTTGTGATTTAAAATAATTTTTTAAGTGGACAATTGAATATATAGTTATTAGAATAAGCAAAATAATTTCTGTTATATAACAATAGAACATTTTTTTATGAACTGATTCATTGTATTCATGTAAATTGGTTGCCTATATAAAAATAAAAAAAAAGATTTATATGTATGAAAAAATATATATGTATGAAAAAATATATATGTATGAAAAAATATATATGTTTTTTTCAATAACAATATTAATAAATGTATATGTGTCTACCATATGTTTTTGGTATCCTTGTTGCAATTTCATGGAATTAAACTTTTTTTTCAAACTTTTTAAAATAGATAATGTTTCACTTAATTCTGATTTTTTTGCTAAATTTTCTAAATCGATATCTGTGCCACCAACATCAATTGATAAAGTCCATTTTATTGAAGTACTTTTAAACCAATTAGTAGATGGACAAGAAATACATATATAATATAATCCATCCTTATTTGTTAAATATGATATTTTACCTTTAGTAATTTTAGAGGTTTCATGTGAATACAGTACTCTCCCATTTTGATCTTTTATATTAATAAGACATTTAACATCTATAAATAATAATAATATTTTTTTTTTTTTTTTAAAAATTCATATATTTATATAATTATATTCTCTTGTAATGTTAAAATGTATAATAAATAAAGTTTTTCTTATATCCTTTAAATTTTTGTTATTTTAATTTAAAAAGTTTTCTTACCTTTTAACCCATAATTGTCATAAGAAGAAGTTATGACAATATTGCTAGCTACACTTTCTACAAAGCATTTATCTACACCTTCTTTTACATAAAAATAAGCAGCTTTAACATTTGAGCTAATTAAAAATATAGAAAAAAATAAAAGGAATACAATCCCACTAGTTTTTATTCCTTTCATCATTTATGAAAAATAAATAGGTAAAATATTACATAAATTTAATTAAATTATAAATTCATCTTCATCATTAAACAATTTTACCACAAAATGTAGTAAATTTTATAAAGTATTTAAAAATATTTTTGATTAATTATATATTATCAATATCTGATTTATTGTGTAATTGATATATGTTTAATATATTAATTTATTATTTACAATTTATATTTATTAGAAATATGTTTTTTACATTAATAATTTTATATTTTTAAAATAGTACATAAATTATGTAAAATTATATTGCATTTTTTAATATATTTAAGAAAATAAAAAATAAAACAAAAAAAACAAAATTAAATTGTTATGTAATTAAAGTAAATCACATTAAAATTTATTATTCAAACATGAATTTTATTAATATATTTTTTTTTTTTTTTGTTTGTAATGTTTTATACAGTTATTCTTAATAAATATTTTTATCACAACAAAAAAAAAATATATATATAAAATAATTGAATTTGAAAGAAATAGAAATTTATCATTTCACATTTAAAAGTGTCATAACCTTAAATAAGTTGAGAATTTTCTTTCATAAAGTTAAAAAAAATATTTATAGGAACTACATAATATAAAAATGAAAAATAAATAAGAGAAGCATAAATTATAGCACTTCTAATAAAATGTAATCATTTTATAAATATAAAATAATTATAACTTTTTTTTTTTTTTATGATTTTACAAATTTTTTACTTATATTAAAAAGACATATAAGAAGTA